TGTTATGTCTTTATAAATTGTATGGGCCTTGTTTGTACAATGCTGTAGCTGAGGCCTCACTAGTGTTAAACAGAGTGGAAAAATCACTTCCCCTGTCTTGCAGGTGACACTCTGTTAATAAAGCCCAGCATGCTGTTGGCTTTGTTTGCAACCAGAGTACACTGTTGGCTCACACTCAGCATGTGATCCAGCATACAATGACATAAATGGCACTGGAAGGTATCAGTACAAGTCAGAGAGCAGCTGTCCCCTATTAATGACTGTCTTGAGGGCCCTGGGCATGTTGGCTCCTGGCGGGTAGACAAGCCTGCCTTACTTGTACATGGTGAAGAGGGTGGGGATCTTGTAGTCCCGCAGCAGCAGCAGGGTGGGGAGCCAGCCTTCCATCAGGTCCTGGCAGGCATGGAACCCTGCAAACAAAGCAGAAGGCAAGGTGGAAACCCTGGAGAAACCTGGTCCCAGTGCAGGGAAGAGTGGCTTTGCAGATGGAAGAAGGTTGGGGGTGTGGTCACTGCAGGAGCTAGAGCAGCTTGTACAGTATTCTTATTCTCATTCACTTCTTACCCCTGCTACTGCATGCTCCAGACTCCCATGGCTAGTCTATTTTTGACAGCCCCTATTTCTGCCGTGCTGCAAACAGGTAACTCCCACTGACTTCAGAGCATTTCTCAAGAAGGGGTGGAAGCAAGAGGCTGTGAGAGCCTTCACTGCAGAATGAGGCAACTGGGTCGGTGCTGTTGGAAGAAGGCACAAGCCACCAGCTGGGAAGGCTTGGTGGGGAGGGGGCAGGATGTCAAGGAAGACTCCATGTTATGCAGGGGGTGGAAGGGTTCCAGCCCTCTGGGATTTTGCAGAATCATCCTGCCTTTAGCAGGAGAGTCTGCAGGTGGTGTGTGCCTGGGCAGGTGCCATTGTGTCTCAATGGGTCAGTGGCTTTTTTAAATTCCTAATCACACAGCATGCCAACATGATATAAATTGCCCTGGAAGACACAGACCCACAGCACCATGGGACTAGGATACAACTTTGCGTTAAATTGCCTTTCCTCATAGGACTCCAAAGCACTTTACAGATATATTTTACAGCACTTTACACTTTACAGAGAGGAAACCACTGGTGTTTTTCACTGTTTCCAGCTGGTGCTTTTGTGTTTCAGCAGTGTTGTTGCTCACTACTTGTGCTAAATGCTAAGTGCATGGTTCATTTGGAATGATTCTGATGAACCGGCTTTGTATTGAAGATGGCAGGATGTGTCTAGTGGGGCTTCTTTTGCTGATGGCTTGTGATGTGATGTAGCATGACCTATACTTCTTTAAGAGAGTGTTTATCCTCTGGAGTAGTGACTTTAGTGGTCTTTTCTTGTTCAGGGGATGCAATGAGGGGAGTGGAAGGCTGTGTTTTTTCTTCCCACAGCTGATGCTTGTGTTTTGGATGGCCCAGGGATCACAGCACCAACTTGGGGCTGGGCTTACTTTGCAAAATTTCACTAGCGTAGTTACATAGGCTGGGAATGTGAAACCCCTGCCAACACAGCTGTGCCCACCTAACCTGGTGTGGACATGACTATGCTTCACACTGCACTGCATCTTCACGAGGGGGCTTTGGTGGCAAGATTCTTCCAGGGAGGACAAGTCCTGGCCTGTGGAAGACCTGAGTTCCAGTCCCTTCTCTCGCCTAGACTCCCATTGGGACCTGGGGCAAGTCACTTAAGCCCAGTGTATGACAGAAGAGACTTGTCTATATAGCTGTTCCAGTGCAGCCTCTACACAGGAACACAACATAAGCACCTGTACCAGGGTCTCCAAGTAAATGATATGTGGCAGCATCAGCCCTTCTCCACCTGCACACCAGGGTGTTTTCCAGCACAGAAACATTCTCCCAAATTACCCTCTAAAGGACATGGTTCTGGTGAAACCCACCCTCAGCTCCCTTTGACAAATTAGTACTTGCCCTGTCTCTCAAGTTTGGCATACTCAGGTATCATGGCAAAGGTGGGGCTGCAAGTACCTAGGATGGATGAGTTACACCACTCTTTGGCAGGACACAGAGAAGAGATGTTTCAGGGGCACTGGCAGATTAGCAAAACCAAGGAGTGCAGGAAAACTCGGCATGCCTGCTTAGCTCACCTCCCTGCCATATGCATCTTCTCCCCACTTGTCCCAAACAACATGATCAGCTTCTTAGTGCTGAAGATGGTGACTTAAGTCTATCGGTGCTCATGACATAACCTTACTTTTTAACACTTGCCTCGGGTTGATCATCTCCCCACTACAGCCCAGATGTTGACAGTTCAGTCCTTTGAGCCTGATGCAGTGTCCTGACAACACTGCCACAATGAGTTAAGCCACCCTTTGGCCTGTATCTGACATGGCATCCATCCTCCTCCCTAATGATAATGCTCCCTGGCTCACTCTGTGGAGCACCCATGGATATTTTTCTTAGCTGCATTTCAATTCCAGCAGCTCACAAATGTATTTAGTGAGGATCTTAAAAACATGCTTCCAGCAGCAAAGGTCCCGAAAGCTTTCTGTTCCCTGGCTCCATAGCTCACCATGTAGCAATAACAGGAGAGGCTATACTCCACAATTCATAATAGCCCCAAATGCCTTGTTGTGGCTGTTCATTGAGTGGGAAAGGAGTGGGTTCAGATGGTTCTAAATGCTTTAAACTGATCTCCTTTCTGGGTTCTGGAGAAAAAGACAACTTTGTGAGGGGTTGCTGTGGGGAAGAATAGCAATAGCCATGGACCCAAAACTGCTGAGAAGCTTGAAATGACTATGGATCACCTCAGTGGTCTTCCTTTAGCCCACCTCCTCTCCCCTCAGGTTACACAGCAGCTGTGGTCCTCCTGGGGCCAGGGCAAGGTTGTGTTAGTGTCACATCTCTGCTTTTCTTTCTGAAAAGCAGAGATGTGACACAGTACCTAGGCCAAGGCTGCCTGGTTTTCAGGCCTCTTTGTGCATCTGTTTCCTCCTCTATCCAGCTGCACAAGGTTGATGCTACAATACCCTTGGTCATTATCTTTCTTTTAAGTAGAGATGGACCATGCTGGTGCCCCAGCCACATGCTATGATTATTCATGTGCTTAAAAACCTCTCACTTTCCAGTACAATTGACGGGCTGACACAGCAAACCATGCATGCCTTCCTGTCCCCACCTTAGGGATCTGAGTTCTTGGGTCCAGTAGAGCAACTGGGCTGAATTCACACCCAGCTTCCCAGGGTGCCAGATAGACAAGGTGCTATGATCTAGTGATCTAAGTCAGGTCCCTCTCTGCTTTCCCTTGCACTAAGCTAGTGGAGACTTTAGAGGGTATCTAAATAGCACGTAGCATGCAGGAGATGCCCAGGGAGAAGCACATGCCATTCTTGGCTAGGCTTGTTAGAAGCTACCAGACACCCATGCTGAGATCACTGTGGCCATGCTGACCTGTAGCATTAAGCCTCTGGCATCCGGGCTATGCAGCACTTTCTGTGCCAGCCAGTCTTGAATGGAGTCTATTACCAAGGCTTAGAAGCAGTTAAGTAGGAGCTAATGAAGTACAGAGCCCTTAAAGATTTGCTTTGTCCCTTCCTCCTCCCTCTCACTGAGTATCTGGTGCATGACACTGTCCAAGCAGGAGGAGTATGCAAAAGGAGAAAAGAACACCCCCTCCCCAGTGCCCTGCAGCATGGGGCAGTAACAGCGAGTGGCTAGAGAAGGGAGCAGGACTCCACCCAACTCTTCCAGCAACTTGCTCTGTGACCCCAGGGAAGTCAATACCCTCTGTGCACCAGTTTCCCATCTATATAAGAAGGGTAATGGAGCCTGTTTTTTTCAAGTGCTTTGAGATCCTCTGAGCCAAGGCTGTCAGGAAGCCCAAGCTTCACAACTGTGCTGTCATCAAACACAGCAGGGACCCAGAGGTTACAGTACATGACATGCTACAGCCTGCGCAGTGGCATGGGAGCAGCGATAGGAAAAGTCCCTGGGAAGAACACGCACCGGGCAGGGCCAGCCCTTCTCAGCATCACCCTTTGGCACAGACCCACTGCCCGCACATTCTAACACCTTGGTGCTGAATCACCATCTCGCCACCTTAGCATCCCTAGGTTTGGGATAATGCATCAGCCTGATGACATTATGCGCAGGACATGCCCAGGCTCCATGTGCCCTAGCGGGTGCCCTTGACCTTGGCAACCCTTCAAGATAAATGGTTATTGCATAGTTGGATGTAGTCACAAGGGACTGGACTCAGTGAACCAGTAGGTCCCTTCCAGTCCTATGTTCTGGCATTTAAAACCTCAGCACTTCCCAGCTGCTACCATCACTGTGCACCCACCTTCTGTATTTGGCCTTGCTAAGCTGGCCTGAGGCCTCATCCCCTGGTTGTTTCCTAGGATACAGAATTGGGGAAGGCATGGTGGGCAGTATCTTATCACAAAGGAACTGCAGTGTTGGGGTAGACTGAAAGGAGGAGCGGGAAATCTGGGAAAGCTGGAGGGGTATGAGGAGCATGACCCAGGATGGGGCCAGCTCTGTGGGCCCAGGGGGATGAGGTACCCCCTCTTCGACACAACCATAGTGAGGCTCTGCCCAGGCACTCACCTGGATGAAAGCCCACCACAAGGTCCGGACGTGCAGCCTGCTGAGTTTCTACTTGGGATTCCCAAAAGTCATGATAGAGGCCTTTATAGCTGCTGAGGTAGACTCTACCCCTGGGTCCAAAGGCTGTCAGAGGAGGTCTCATGATGGATCCATCAACTACATCCACTCCAACCATTACCACCTCAATGCCCTGGTGCCCAGGAAATATCTGTGTGATCTCATCATAATCTATCACCCGGGTGTTGAGGGTCTCGATGTGGGAAGCCCCAGCCACATGCACAGTGATGGGCTTGGCATAGGGGTCAA